GTGCCGAATTGCAGAGGTCCCGAAGTTCTGAAATTACTGAATTTCTGAAGTGTCGAAGTTCCGAAGTGTCGAAGTGCCGAAGTTGACGAATTTCGGAATGCCGAACCGAACCGAAAATTTTTCCCATGCACATGCCTAAAGCTGTCCATCTGTGATATTGAGGAGTGCTTAACCTTAGCATGAGCTTTTCGGCCAGAATGATGCTGCACATGAGTCGTTAAAGGCAAAGCTTGGGTAGTAGTCTGCTGAGCCAATCTCTGTGCCTTGTGTAAATGTTGATTTTATTGTCCTCTCTAGAGTATTTTCAGAGGACAAGATAGAATTTCCTACAATAATCAAATACCAGAGCATTGCCATTGGATACTCTACAAAAGCTGAGTCTTGGCATTTAGTGGATCAGTTAGTGGTGCAGGTTAGGTAAAAGAAACTTGGACAAATAGATAACGGTTCAGCGCTAAATAAACTAAAAGAAACTAAAATAAGTATAAAAGCAGCAACCTATAAAAATGAGCTCCCTCAACAAACCTCACAAAGAATAAAATAGACAGAAATTGGTATATAGGTCGCGCTGAAGGGACAAAGAGGTGATGTAAAATGAATAAATAAATATAATAAAAAGTCCCAAGTAATAAATAGACCTGTATAATTCTTGAGTGAATATAAAGTCCAAATGAGTATCTGAAGCTTCTTATGTTGGAGATATCTTGATTCACTTTGAATGAGCAAAAAAACTTGCTCAAGTGTTCTTAGCGTTCAGTGGCGTCAATCCCCCACTGGTCGGATATAGATGATGGGATCCTTAAAAATTCCTTGATATGTGGAGAGATGAGAGACGTATATAGTGCTCACTGTATTATTTAAAAAACAAATAAAATGGTAAAATACTCACATGTATATGAGCAGGAACTACTGCTCAATATAATGGCGCAGGTGGTATAATCCCCACCTAGGATTCTTGAGTGAGAAGTGAAGAAAAGAGTTATGTTGTTGAGTAACAACTATAAACATATACATTAATGGTTTTATTATATTCTGCAACATATGATATTCTTTTTGTGTTCAAATTTTATTCAATGCAATAATAGATGGGTTCAATACCCCCTTTAACTTTTTTTTTTTTTACCCTTCCCCATTTTTTTTATTAATGTATAAAGCTATTATTTATTATTATGTTATGCATTGTAATATATTTTTCAAAAGTTTTCAATGAAAACAATTTGAAAAGAAAAGTAAAATAATAATTTTACAGTTTTATTATTGTCACAGGTCCCAGCTTCAAAGAGGAATTTACGTTGTAAATTCTGACCTCCCATACAATCAAATTAGCCCATTTTGAAATTGACAATATCACCTCTACCAGGCAGCCAGTTCATATATGCACGAACATATCTTTCGTTTTACCGAACCGATCTGAGTGCTATTTGGATATGTTGTGCGCTCACATCGGGGGTATTCGGGAATATAATTTTTGTGGGGTTGCGTTGCTGTTGTCATGTATTTTTGTGATATGAAAAAAGTGCATGTAAGTATTCCTTTATGAAAGATAACTGGATTAGCTTAATTGGAGCTCAATTATCTCTCAAACACAATGACTTATGGGAAGGACATCCATGTGATTTTGTATTAGAAACCCCGTGCTAGGGGCACTGCATAAGAAGCCAATACTACTTGTTGTGCCCATTATATTGGGGAAACTCTACACAAAGGTAATACTTTCACTATATTCAGCACAACTGCAATTAGGACTAGTGGAGGATTGAGGGAATAACAGCACCACTATAATGACCACTATGTTGGCCCTGGCTTATTGTGGGAGGCCTTTGAGGAGTGGACTGAATTTGGGAGCTCAGCAGTGTTCCGATTGTGAGATATCTGGGACCTTAAGGGAGACCTGCTGGATCTTGCAGCAGCAACAGACCTGGTATCTGATCTGAACTACATAGCCAACCAGGAATGGGAGCAGGACTATCGGCAACAAATTGACTCTGCACAGCAGCGGCAAAGTGAGTTCCAGAGAGGGGAGGACAGTACCCTCACTCCCCAGCGGCAGTGTGCATGACAAGGAGAGGAGCGTGTCGTCCTCCATCCCTAGCAGCAGAATATGTTCCAGTGAGCGGAGACAGTCAGCCTCACTCCCCAGTGGCAGATTGTGTTCCAGGGAGGGGAGACAACTGGTCTCACTCCCCAGCAGCAGTGTACATTCCAGGAAGAGGAGAGTATTGTCCTCCATCCCCATCAGCAAAATGAGATCCAAGGAGAAGAGACAACCGATCTCACTCCTCAGTGGCAGTGTGCATTCTAGGGAGAGGAGTGTATCGTCCTTTCTCTCCAGCGGCAGTGTGAGTTATTGAGAGTGGAGACAACCGGTCTCACTCCCCAGCGGCAGAGTATGTTACAGGGAGTGGAGACAACCAGTCTCACTCCCAAGCAGCAGTGCAAGTTACTGAGAGTAGGGACAGTCAGCCTCACTCCACAGCGGCAATGCTTATTCCAGGGAGAGGAGACAACCGGTCTCTGTCCCCAGCGGCAGTGTGAGTTACAGGGAATGGAGATAACTGATCTCACTACCCAGCGGCAGTGTGAGTTATTGGGAGTTGAAACAACCGGTCTCACTCCCTAGCGACAGAGTATGTTCCAAGGAGAGAAGCGTACCATGCTTCCTCCCCAGTGGCAGTGTGAGTTACTGGAAGTGGAGGCAACCGGTCTAACTCCCCTCTCTCCCCAGTGGCAGTTGGAGCTACCAGGAGAAACCGGGGTTGGCGGACGTTCCCCACAGCGCAGCTGGGAGCTACCAAGATAGAGCGTTGTTCAGGAGGCTACCCATGTGGGTTTTCTTTTTGGGGCTGGTTACCCGACTAACTCAGGCATAGACTGGTTGGAAGTCTGGTTCCTTGTTAGTCTATTCTTTGGGGGGAAGGTATTTCACGGAAGCTCCCATGACACAGCCAGCTGGAGAGGCATAACAGCTAGCCTCCTACCCACAGACTATGGGCCTGATTACAGACTTTGAAATGATATATAGGATATGGGGTTACATTGTCTTAAAGTTGAGTTATTATGTAAAATGTTGAGCTGGATGAAAGTTATTGTGTTAATTGCATTATCTAAAAGCTATTGTGCTATGTGTCTTGGTGTCCAGCAGGAAATTAAGTTATCATGTCTTGACCCAATTGTGTCCCAGACACCAAGACATATTGCAAATGAGAGTTAGTTAGAGTTAGTTTATACTGAAACCAGACTTCCAGGCCACTGATGTGTGTCTTCTCACACCTTACAGAGTAGCTCTGCTGGGGTCCCAGTTTCAACAAGACATTTAGGTTGTAAGCTCTGACTTCCCATACAATCAAATTAACCCCAAATTAATTGACAATACCACCTCTACTAGGCCACCAGTTCATATATGCACAAACATAGCTTTTGTTTTACCAAAGCAATTTTTGGATATGTTGTGCGCTCACATCGGAGCTATTCAGGAATATAATTTTTGTGGGGTTCAGATGCTGTTGTCATGTATTTTTGTGATATGAAAAATCTGTATGTAAGTCTTCCTGTTTGAGAGATAATTGGATTAGCTTAATTGGAGCTAAATTATCTCTCAAACACAATGGTTTGTGAGAAGGAAACCCTTGATTTTGTATTAGAAACCCTATGCTAGGGGCACTGCATAAGAAGCCGAGTGTGGCCTAATAAAGTTCATATTGCCGCTTTTACCCAATACGACTGGTTGTGCCCATTATATTGGGGAAACTCTACACAAAGGGAATAATTTTACTATATTCAGCACATCTGGAATTAAGACCAGTGGAGGATTGATGGAATAACAGCAATAGACTCACAAACCTCCGACAATTATAATGAACTGTTAAGATTTTTTTCCAACACAGAGATTCAGAGTAAACATATACTGCTTTAAATGTAACTATGTCAAAATAAGTTATCATTATGTAAATGAAAACCATTGTATGATATCAGATTTATTGAACGTCCCATAATTATTGACCTGATGTACCCTGGTCTAAAGCTAGTCATAACTAGGGGAAAAGAAAACCATTCTAATGAGGTGATGCTAAAACTTCAAAGTTAATTGATTAGGGTGGTCTTGGCTTGATTTCCAGGGAAATAACATTCCCAGCACAAAAATACTTCATATCAGGTCCAACTGGCAGTCAATGCTTTGTAGAAAGGGGCCCAAAAGGAAAATAAATATTGTAGAGTTATGTTCTCCCCAGCTGATAGCATTTTCTCCAAATGAATAGGAAGGTGTATTAATCAATGAAATTCCATGCATGGAGTTTACATTAAACAAACAAAGAAGCAGTTTAAATCTATACATAATAAGATAATCTATCAACCAGTGTAGTATTGCTTTCACTGAGAAGAATTACATGCACCAGACATGAGGTGATATTAACATGAAAGTTATGTCACTATGATAAGTGCTAATTAATTAGCTTAAATATTTTTTTTAGGTTCTGTATATTGAGATGTGCAGAGAAATAGTTGTAATCCTTAAAATGTTTAACCAGTAAAAACAATTACAGGCTCAGTCATCACTTGTCAAAATCCAGGTTCGACGTATTTAACTTATAAATGTGATTTCCGGCGTTATAATCTAGGTTGAAACTATTGAATGTATGAATATAGTTTTCAAATATTGTATTTTTTTTTTAATGTTTTTTAACATAATGTAACATTGTGATACAAAGCCATCAGAAAACTTTTCCTAACTTTTACAATGGAAGAACTCAAAATGAGATCAAATATGTATGTTACTAATCCTCATTAAAAGTGAAAAAATGTGAAATTCTGAATATTTAAAAATATTCTTGCCGTTATTTTAATATTTTTAGATAGTGTTCATGACCAAAAAGAAGAAAAGGGACGTAACATTTTACATACTTTTTATTTTGCACATACAATTTTTTAAAAATTTATTTTGGGTGGTGGTTTACAGGAACATAGCTGGGCTGTAACCCCTTCATGTAATTGGAGTGGTTATAGTGTCTGTAGTTCTCTGATACTGTCCTTCCATTTTGAATGTTTTAATGCTAAAGAAGTGCCCCCAGCAGCCCTTCCCTGTGCTGCATAGAATAATGAGGAAACCTTAGCCTGAGCATCAATTGGTGGCTGTGGTTGGTTGAAAGTGTCAGGTGACTGGTTTCAACCTATAAATTAAGAAAGTGGAGCGCTGAATAAATAGATATGATTTAGAGGAGGGTATAAAATAGGAAACCTAACGACCTATTAAGATAAGATATGCACAAATAGAAAAACTATACCCTTAAACCTCTGATAGCATTATCATTGCTGTAATCATATGAAATAAAACTGTCAAACAATAATGCCTTGTAATAACAATAAACAGAAATCTCATATAATGAGTATAGAAGACTGAATATTAAAGTCCAATATTAGTCCATTCAAATCCCTTCCGGGTATTTTCTTCAGTGTGATGGCTCCAATACCACAATAGATATATAAAAAATGCAAAGAAAAAAGTGAGTTAGTAACTTCTATTTCAGTGCATCAAAAAAAACAAAAAACAATCCAAATGTATCGGAAATAAAAACTGGCTTTATTAAGATCCTAGCTGTAAGCTAGACTTCGGTATTTCCTTAAAAGATTCAGAATAAAACAATTTCCAAATAAAATTCGGAGTAGTAATAATAATACTGGTTTCAACCTATCAGAATTGCCTATTTCTGCTATTGATTTGTATGCCTAAGAAAGAATGTAACCCTTAATCTCTATATGATCCAGGATGTGGGTGATTATGGACCCTTATTCATTGTTAAAATGCTTGAAAATGTAATACAGTTGGAATAACAGTGCCATGGGAGTCTAGGCATTATATATTAAATTCAAAGAGATTAAATTGTTATAGTACCCACAACGTCTCTTTAATGTAAATAATGACTGAAAACAGGTAAAACCTTTATAGATTGCCTCTCATATATTATGGAAATGTGAGCATGTTAGATTTAGACACTAACTGAAAGACAATTACCAGATTTTACTAATTTCATGACGTAAAGTCATGATTTTATAAAGGACACGGAGGCGAGTATTGTGCTTTCTCTTTCTTTATAGTACCTCAGCAGCAAAGAAAAAGAAATGCATAAACATAAACGAAGTCAAACTGAGTACTCAAGGGTTAACATAGTCTGATACTCCAACCAATAGGAACAGTCCATCCATCAATAGCCACCCATGTGACCTTTCCTCTCCCTCTTTCTTTGATCCTGCCGAAGTCGAAGTATAAAACTGTGCGAAATGCCCGAACTCCTAACCGGCATGTCGCTGTCTGTTCCATAACGAAACGTTGAACAGAAACTCAAACGAAGCTGAAAACTTATCCTCCATGTCAGTGGCGTGGAGACGTCAAGCTGAAAAAGGGAGAGAGAGAGATATGGTAATGTGTGATCCAGTAACTGCATGTTATATGTACTAGCACCCTGCTTTATTTACATCTAATAACCTACAGATCTAAATATTTATCCTAGACTGTCATACATCACCTGCCTGAAACATGTAAAAGAAAACAAACGTGTCAAGCAACCCATAAAAAACATATCATGTCAACTTATTGGGTGGGAGTCTGGAAGATCATAATAGTTAATACCAACCTCACGATACTCACCATGTCATCGTCGCGATCTTCCTGGGTGGGCCAATACTCGCCTCCGTGTCCTTTATAAAATCATGACTTTACGTCATGAAATTAGTAAAATCTGGTAATTTTATTAAAGGACACGGAGGCTCATATTGTGCTAGTTTAAAGCTGAGCAACGACTGATGACGTGACATGTTCTGGAGGTCGAAAATAATATTCCTTAAAGGTGGACTCCCGCGACCAGTCCGCAGTACGTAAAAGGTCTTCCAGTCTACAACCTAGCGTAAAAACCTTGGTCGCCATTGCCCCTCTCGTGGAGTGTGCTTTGTATATCGAGGTATCAATATTAGCGGAGGCCATTATCCATTTTACCCATCTAGCTATCGTAACTGTCGATACTGGGTGATGTGGAGTTTTGGTGGAAATGAACAATTCATGTCTAGTAGGATCTCATAATGCCCGTGTTCTCTCTTCATATTCTTTGAGGCAAAGTACCGGGCATAGGTTTTCATTATGTGGAAACGTTGGATAGGATACTGTCGTCATTGCCGTTTTTGTACGTCTGGAAATGTGAAACGTCACCCCTGACGGAGTGAATGAACGTGCGTCCACATCCAGTGCTCGCACCTCAGAGACTCTTTTGCACGATATCAAGCAGAAAAGCATTGCCAATTCTGCTGATAACTGTTTCAGTGGGAGATCTGAATTTCGTGGCCATTGTTCGAGGAGATTCAAGACCAAATTTACATCCCACGTTGATGTATATCTAGGTCGTGGTGGCCTTGAGAAACGAACACCTCTGAGGAGTCTGCAAACCATCGCGTGTCTCCCTATCGGTGCACCGTCCAGGCCCTGATGTCCTGCTGAGATCGCCGACCGGTAGCCGTTAATAGTGCGATAGGCCAAACCTCGATCGAACAAGGCTGTCAAGAAACGCAGGATGCTGTTCAGAGGGGCACAAACGGGATCCACTGATTGTTCCATGCACCAACCATTCCAGATGTCCCATGCTCGACTGTAGGATCTCCGAGTACCAGGCGCCCAGGCCCCTGCCAGTAGCTCCAACGTTGTCCGTGGAACCTCTGATATGCTTGGGAATCCCCGGAAAGCAGCCATGCTAGCAGTCTGAGATGTCCGTGCAGCGCCAAAGGGTGCGAGTTCCCCTCCGGGTCCGTCAATAGATGAGGGTCCGCTGGTAGCAGTCTGGGGAAGTCGATAGACATCTCCATGAGGGACGGGAACCATGGTTGCGTCGTCCAAAAAGGTGCGACTAACACCAATGTCGTCTGTGAACGGCTGAGGTGAACCAATGTCCGTGCCAGCAGGGCGAACGGTGGGAAAGCGTACAGTCTCTTTTGTGGCCATTGTTGGAGGAACGCATCCGTCGCCACTGCATCCGGGTCCGGTCTCCAGCTGAAGAATTCTGGTAGTTGTGTATTCAACCGAGACGCAAACAGATCCACGTGCAGCGGGCCCCACAACGTCTGCAGGTGCAGGAATATATCCCGCTTCAGGCGCCAATCGCCGTTGTCCCTTAGGTGTCTGGAATTCCAATCCGCCACTGTGTTCGATAGGCCCGGGATGTATTCGGCCCGTACCGAGATATTGCGGTCCAGACAAAACTGCCAAAACTCCATGGCCAGATCCGCCAATAGCTTGGATCTTGTGCCGCCCAGGCGGTTGATGTACTGCACTGCTGATATATTGTCCATCCGTAGGACGACAGAGCAATGTGTCCTGGTGCCCAGCAGGCTTTTCAGTGTGAACGATCCCGCCATAAGTTCCAGGCCGTTGATGTGGATCGTCTTTTCCGAATGGGACCATTTTCCGCCTGTGGAAGTACGCCCACAACGCACTCCCCAGCCCAGTGTGCTGGCATCGGATTCTATTACGCAGTCCGGAAGGTCGCCAAAAATCGCTCTCCCGTTCCAAGCCTCCATGTGCTGCAACCACCAGTTGAGTTCTGCTCTGGCCGTGTGATCGAGCGGTACGGAGTCTGAATAAGAGAGACCCGATTGAAGATGTGTGGTCTTTAGTCTCTGTAGAGCCCGGTAGTGGAGAGGCCCGGGAAGATCGCCTGGATGGAGGCGGAGAGGAGTCCGATTATCCTGGCCAGTTGGCGCACCGTGAGCGTCGGTTGCCGTAGCGATCTGTGAATCTCCTTTTTGATGACTTTGATCTTCCCTTGCGGCAAGTTCAAGGTCCCTTGGACAGCGTTGATGGTGAAGCCCAGGAATTCCATGGATTGCGAGGGAGTCAATACTGACTTCTCCCAATTGATGAGGAACCCGAGGTTGCGTAACAGGTGAATTGTCCATGACAGATGTTGTCGGAGCATATGTACCTCTTAAACCATAATCAAGATATCATCCAGATAGACGATCATGCGCACTCCTCTGCTGCGAAGCAGGGCCACCGCCGGTTTCAGGAGCCTCGTGAAGCACCATGGGGCGGATGACAGGCCAAACGGGAGGCACCTGAACCTCCACATTTGACCGTCCCATGGGAACTGGAGGAGGTGGTGGCATTCCTCCGCTATTGGGACGGTAAGATAGGCATCCTGGAGGTCCAGTTTGACCATCCAGTCCGACAGCCTGAGCAGGTCTCGCAGGCAATGGATGCCCTCCATTTTGAAGTGTTGGTATCTTACAAATACGTTGAGGGGGCGTAGGTTTATCACCGGTCTTACCCCTCCACCTTTTTTGGGGACCAGGAAGAGGTTGCTTAGGAAACCCGAGGAATGGGGCGCGACTCGGTAAATCGTGCCTTTTTCCCGTAAAGATCTGATTTCCAGCGACACGAGATTCTTGTCTGTCGAGGAAAAAACCATGGGTCGGGGGGCCGCCAGTTGTAATGGGGGCTGCACAAAGTCTATCTGGTACCCCGCTACAGCGTGGAGAACCCAAACATCGGATGTGAGGCTTTGCCACGCCTTGAGAAAATGAGCTAGTCTGCCCCCTACGGCTGAAGAATAAACCCGGGAAGGAAAGATGGTACTTACCATAAGGTCGTCGGCCATATGTAGAGCCTCTACGCCCTCTGGGTTGCCATGGCCTGCCCTGGACAGGGAAAAATGGTGTAGGGTTCCTGACCTCTGGCGTCTGGAATCTGGGTGCAGGGGAGCCTCGGTAGCCCCGATAGGAGCTCCGTGAGGACCGGCTGGACAGACGGCTCCGGTGTCTGCCAGCCCCCCCGAAAACCTTTGGGGCGAACACCCGCTTTAAGTTTGATTGTGCCTTGTCCAGGGCGGTGAACGTATTAACATAGGTGCCCAACTCCTTAACAAAATTATCCCCAAATAGGAGAACCTTTGCCTAAGGCCCGGGTTCCGCAATGGCCATATTGACCAACTTCGGGTCAATCTTCATGAGGACCGCCTTTCGTCTCTCAGTACAGAGAGCGGCATTGGAGTTGCCAATGAGACAAATTGAGCGTTGCGCCCACTCCCGGATAGCCAGGAGGTCCACCGGCGTGCCATTTGAGATCGTCTCTTCGACCATGTCGAAGATTTTTGCACTGGGGCCCAGCGAGTCTAGCACCTTATCCTGACAATGGCGTAAGGAATAGTCCAGGCACTTTTTGGCTTTACAGCCCGATCGTCCCAGAAACTGGGCAATCTTTGGGTCCAATTCTGGCGTGGCGCACGCCAAATCAGGTACTGTTGGGCGAGGGCATTCGGCCCTCAATTTATTTCTAGTAGCCTTGTCTAGGTGCTTCCTAATCCTGGCCGCGATATATTGGGCCACATGGTCTGCCGGGAACCACTCGGTCGACCTAGGGTGCTGCAGGTCGTCCGGGTCCAAAATAACGGAATCATCCGTCTTGCCGCGACCCTTAGTGGGCGGCTTATCTGAACGGTCTCGTTCCGGGGAAGAGTCCTCAGAATTTTGCGAGCCCATATCTTCGGACTCACTCCATACCTCCTCTTGATCCGAGTCAGAATCGGAAATATCTTTATTGGCTTTCGCCCATTTCCATGACCGCACCGCTTTTGCCCGGTGGGAGGCTCTCTTACGTGGGGGCCCCACGTACTCATCATTGACAGGGCGCAACCTGTCCGTCACAACAGTTTTGGAGGTGTATGTGCCCATGTGATGGGTCTTTGCCGTAGCCTTGCGACCACTAAGGGGGGCAGGCTCAGCATTTGGGGCCTTGGAGTCGTGGTCACCGGAGCCCTGGCCGGACGCCATGATGGCGTGGCTAATGGACTGAGTCAAGTTATCTGATATCATCCCCATTGCTGTGAATATGGCTTGCGTGACCGATTTTGCCATGGTCGCGTCAAGCAGGGAGTGAAACTCCTCTGAATTTAATTGTTCTACCGACCCCACCTCTTCCCTCTGAGGGAGTGTGGGTCGTGGGGCCAGGGGCCCACTGGGGTTGTCGCCCAAGCTGCCGGTAGGCATGGTGACCCTCTCTTGGTCTGTGGGGTGCTGCATGGCAGGAAAATACAAAGTGAAGGAAAACCCCTATATGGCCCCTTTAACAAACTAAAATGAGGTGGTGGCCCTTTAAGGTATCCTGTGTGGCAAACAGGAATGTGGGTAATGGGGCACTACACTGAGCCTGGCTGAGCTGAGCAGGGCAGGAATAATAGTGAGAAGTGGAGCATCTGTGAATCTGTGAATCTGTGAATTGGGCATTTAAACACAGTAAATATGCTTGCTTCTTTTCATTTGTCATTTTGCATCACATATACATTAATTAATTCTGCATTTAAGATCTATATCCAAATGTTAATTCTTGAAATGCTACATTTGATATGGTAATGGAAAAAATGCAGTCCAGAAGTAATAAAATGCTTTAAAGGGTAATTTCCTCTTCATATTTTAAACAATATATGTTGTGGAGCACATTAATGCATACCATGTGTGCTAATTTAGTGAATGAACGTGTAACAGTTTAAATGTCGGAATGCTATGACCCTTGATATAACTGCATTTTGATCACGTTTTCATTACAGAAATTAGTTTTAAAAATTTGTAAACCATCGTAATTTAAAAAAATACATACGAAGAAAAATTTTTAAGTGTTTTTGCTCCTCTGCTGTACATTTTTATCTTTAGATATGTACTTTCTTTTTTCTTTCTCTATTTTTTTCTGACACAGCGAACGCAAATTAATTGTCATTGTTCAAATAAATTTAAAATTTTGAGCCATCGGAAAACATAACTGACTTGGCACAATCATTTTTATTGATATTGATTTAAAATGTAAGTATTAAAAAAGTTGTACTGAGAACAAACCACTCCAAAACTCCACACAGGTTCAAGCAAATTCAACAATTGTTGCTGTTCATCATTTGTAAATCTCAAGAAGGTGCTTGGGAAAAGTCTGCCTTGAGCATAGTAATTCTAAAAATTATTCCCTAATTTTCCCAGAATTCCCTGATTCATATGCAAATGTGAGCAGACAGGCATTAGATTCAGACTTAATTCTGCAATTTCACAGGTACCCCTGGCAACTGAGAATTGTTCTAAACATATCGTTGTAATATAAAAGGACCAACGACCAAAGTCAACAGTGGACCTTGGGTCTCATCATTACGGTGCTGGTAGTGATCTAAAATTTGAGTCTTGATGTTAGCATACAATTGAGACCTAACTCTATAAAACTCCTCACAGATTAATGCAAATTCAAAAATTACTTTTGAATTGCTGACAATTCTTTCTTTGCTAAGTAGTAGATTAACCTACCTGTGTATGTATCCCTGTGTCTCTCTGTATTTCAAAAGAAAACATTTTTGTTTGTTTTTTTTGTTTTGTCATTGCAGTGGAATTATGGGAAGGTGGACAACCCACAAAGATCATTGTTTCTTAATAGTTAAAAAAAAAAAATTAAAACAAGTAACTTCTATTGCACTTCGACTTTTAAATAATTCTGCAGTTTAATGTGCAAAGTGAAGAAATACATTCTATATTTCTACAAATATGAGTATTTTATTTTTCTAGCCATGACAATAGAAAAAAAATGAACATATAGGAACTGTTGGAAGTAGCAAACAGGTTTTTAAATTTAAACATTGTGAACCACCGCGTAACATAA